TTTTTGGCTCACCAGGGAGAGTTGCAAACCCCTTTCTCTTCAGCACCACGTATTACACTTTTAATACACGCCATTTAAAGATGAAAGGTGAAGGATGTTTCAGACGCATAAAATTCAATTGTCTGTCCGTCCCTGCCCAAAGCTGAGTGACGAGTAATATTTTATACTCTTTAAATCGATTGCAGATCCCTGTGAAATGTCCCCGTGACGTATATCCCAACGTGCAGCTGCGCTTTAAAAGGGAGGGACTTCAGGAACATGTTGACATTGTCGGCAGCCGAGACCGCGTTTAATTCTTGCGAGCTGGTCAGTTTTCTGTCACACCTATAACGTTTGGCACATCTGTGCCAAGAGTAACGCAATCGAGTCTGTGATCAGAAGCTTTCTCGTACGGTGTTGAAATGTCTAATCTTCCTGTCAGAATCGGTTGCTATAAATCACTTGCACCAGCCACTCATCCTTTACAAAAGTTACCGTCCCCCTATGATAATATGTCAATTCAGAGAAAGCTGAGTCAAAGACTCTTTTTGGAAAGTGGCTGAAGTTGATGTCTGTAGGGCTAAACTGGATGCTGAAGCAGCAGACAGAGTGTGGTCCATCATACAGTAATCAGCAACACTCATGACATTTATTTTCATCATCACTAATTTTCATTAGTGTTATTACAAGCCGCTAGCATTAGGCCCCACTGACGAGCTGTACCGTTAACGCTGATCACTTGGGAACAGGGGGTGCATTGGGGAGAGGAATAGGTGGGATAGCGAGGTAAGGAAGATGTACGTTTCAGCACTTCACCCGTCAAAGCCACCTCATTCTGTCGTAAGACGCTGCCAGAGAAAGTCCCGTTTCACGCCGAGCCAACTCATCACAAGGGCAATGTTTGCCCTCAGGTGCCTGCCGATTCAATTTTAGTGGTTGGTTTCTCAGTAAAACGGTCCCAGATGGGTTTCAGCACCCGGAGTACTAGTTTGTGAACTGCCCCTCACTGAGGGCAACTTGGAACAGGATTTTCTAAGCCAAATTAATTTTTTTGTGTGTGTGTGTGTGCGAGAGAGAGAGAGAAAAAGATGTAACACAACAATCAGAAGTTACTGAGATCAAAGCCAATACATGGTTAATATTTCCACCCACACACACACACACGTTCCACATATATATATATATACACCAATCCATTAGTTTCCATTCGGTTTGAACGCAACACCCACTATAAACGATGTGTGCAACAACCCTGGTACGGAGGAGACGTTCTGCTTTTAATGGCTTGTGATTAGCATGTAATTCACCCTAATGCGCGCAGTATTAATGAGCAGCTCTACCCACTGGTATTGGTGACAACCCAAAAAAGCAGTCAGCTTTGATGCCGGGACAAATTCCGTGGGACCTCTTTGTAAATTAGCTGCACGCTGAACACTGGCGTCTGGATTCTGGCAAGTTCTCAGTTGCTATAATGCTGACAATTACCCCCTCCCTCTCCCGCCACCCCCTACCTCGTCCCCTCACCTCACCTCACCTATTGCTCCTGCCAATGTGCTGTGTTTCCCACGGCCATGGATTGGGGTCAATCCAGACGAGGTTTTACTTGGACCCACATAACACAGTACGAAACACACACTCCCCTCTGCACCCCACCCCACCCCACCGGTAGTGGTTTACCTTTTATAACTTAAATTTGCAGTGGATTGCTTAAGAGTCCGTGGGTGTCCACATTTAGCATTGAATAAACAATGTGGTAATGATTACTGGCAGTCAGTGCGTTATTCTTTATGGGTGTTACGGACTGATTTTTTGGAAGGCTCGGGCGCAAGAGAAACAGAATTTGCATGATCTGAAATCAATCTACTGGGGTTGGGGGGGGCAGGGGGTAGATGGGGGGGTGGGTGTGGGTGGGGGGGTGGTGAGCGGGGGATTAAGCAGCGCCTGAACATAAGCCTTTGGACTGAACCGTCAGGATTTTGGATGTGATGCAGTGTTGAGGTTACAGAGACCAATTGCACAGTTTGACCCTGATGCTTTTCCCTTGCGGAGGCGAGAAAAGTAAACTCTAAAGCAGCTTTGGCTTGCACAAATTAATAGAGTTGTACTGACTCTAGTGCCGCTGTGGTCAGAGATTGACAGCGCAAAATTAGCACGAGATCTGTTGAAAGACCCGACCAGGCTTTTCTTTTTCAGTTCTAATGCACGGTCTATTGGATCAGGTCCATCGCTGGGTAAAGCTGTTGACGGTGGGCTTGAAACCTTGACATTGAAATAGAACACAGTAATTATCTGTTACCTAAGAAGAACTTGCATTCCCACTGTAGCACATGCACGTCAAATCATCTCATGCAACTGGCAGTAAATTGTCAGTAGCAGTGACTCGTATTGTAGGCAAACACGGCACAGCAAGGTCCCCCTTTAAGCTGTTGGACTCTTGTGCCAGGAACCTCAGGAGATAAATCTCTTTCTCTCCTTTTCAAGTAGCAGCTTTTAATGTCCAACCCACACATAAGCTTGCGAGAAGCCCGTCTTATACTTGGAGGACTGAAATTATGAAAATCAATAATGGTAATAATAATCCCAGCATTTTTGATACAGAGCCTCACCATGTGGTGATTGTGTATTTGAGGGCAAAGCCAGCAGTCAATTTGTACCCCAGCAATCAAATCAATGCCTCATAGGCAGCCGTGAAGTGAATGACCAGTTTTATCTGGGGTGGGCCTCACTCTTGGCCCGGCTGCTGGGAGAAACCCTCTTCTCTTTTTGAACAGTGCCATGGGATGTTTAACGTCCACCTGAACAGGCAGATGGGACCACCGTTTTAACATCTCATCTGAACGACGGCACCTCCAACAATGCAGCGCTCTCTCCCCACCCACCCCCAGCACCGAACCGCAGTGTCAGCCTAGACTACGCGAGCTCAAATTCCCGACGAGCTTGAACCCACACCCTCCTGACTCAGAGACAAGAGGGCTACCAACTTGACTATTGTGTTTTATATTTTTCCATTATTGGTGGTAATAATATTGCACAAACTGTAAACCTGTGTGGGAATTAATGTGTCAGTGTTGTCTGCTGATCCTGTGCAGGCTTTTTCCGCTCGCCATACTTTCTGTCGCCGTGCTTTACTCGTTCAAAGTGTTTCTCTATGTGGTCAGCCGGGTGTCCGACACCTGGGGAAACCCATCAAAGTGCGATGCCACCTTGGCGTGGAAATTTCTCCGTGTCTGGAATGGAATGAGCTTTCTTTGCCTGGAGGGACGTATCCTGCTTACTTATTCCGTATCTGGGAACACAGGAACAGGAGTAGGTCATTCAGCCCCTCAAGCCTGTTCTGCCATTCTCTTCGATCAGGGCTGACCTGTACCTCAACGCCAATTCCAGAGAGTATTCGGAGCAGATTGGTAAAAACCAGGGCTTGGGGGACCTCAAACCGGAGGAACCACTCGCCCTCTCATTGCCCCTCGTTTTTATTGCGTACATTGGCATCTGAACAATGAGAAGCTGCTCCATTTGTCAACAAAGCGGCTTTTTGGCCAGTTAATGAGCCGGCCAGCTGGTCTCCCGACCGACTTCTCCAACAGGTGCGAGCGACAAACAAAATCGAATTTCAAAGGAAAGTTGATAAAGAGTTTTAGTTTTGATTTAGAAACAAAAAAAAATGAGAACGTAAACTCCGTCGGGAGGCCGGCTGTGCTCTCGCCACCACTGTACAGTGAGCGCGTGGGAGAGATTACCTTATCAAGAGCAAGTCACGAATCCCCAAATATGCTTCTAAGCTGCGGTAGTAGTTTTGTGAACTGCTTCCCCCAGTCCACAAGGGGTTTCTTTTTTTTTTGCTGTGGTTGAGAACTACTCGACTCAGTATTTTAAGGAACAGTGCAATTTATATTTACGCACTTCGGGACGAGGTACACATTTCGGGAAAGATAGCCAAACAACTTGTCTTTTTGATGATAAGACAATAATAGTTCCAGGCAGGAGTGAACCGCTTGGTCAAGTTCCCGAAAGATTTCTTCAACACATCTCAACACTTCATTTAATAACTCCCGAAGTCTTTGAACTTCCTGGACAGGTATACATCTGGTTTGGTTTTGCGACTGTGGGAATAATACACTCAGCACAGATTGGATCCAATAGCCATGAGTACCGCCTGAGTGTGTTCTCAATCCAGTCGCTTTGTTAATGTGCACATTCAGACTGACAAGGAAGTGAGGCTGTCTCACTTGCCGAGTGCTTATAATAATAAATAATAATAGTAATCCTTGCATTTGATATAGAGCTTTTCACGTCTTCTAGACGTCTCAAAGCGCTTTACATATTTGTGGGCGAAATGCGGCAGCCAATTGCGCACAGCAGCGTCCCACAAACAGTCATGGATTGAAGTGACCAAGTTTATTATTGTCTTTTTCTTGAGGGATTATTGTCAGGCGTGTGGAGTGAGGAAACTTGCCCAAGGTTTCACCCTGCCGGGAAGTGAACCCAGGTTTCTCGCTTGCGAGTGGAGTGCTCTAACCGCTGAGCTATAAGACTCCTACCTTACCACTAGGAAGCATCACGAGTGGCATAGTGCATGGTCAACTGCATCCAAGAGCCACATAACTTCCATTGCATGCATGAGGACCGTAGAGTAACAGGAATGCGTTTTGAAATCAATGTTTCCTCAACATAATAATCCTTGCATTTGATATAGTGCCTTATCACATCTTCAAGACGTCTCAAAGCGCTTCACAGAATATACCGCAAAGTGAGTTGACTGTATATTTTGTGGACGAAACACGGCAGCAAATAAACATTTATTTATTCCCAATTTTCGCACCAGGAAAGTCTAGGCTAGGATTACTGTAGGTTCCAGTGATTTAGAAAGGTTGAATGCGAAGAGAGGGAGGTAGAGATCGACTGAACAATGAACCTACAAACTTGCGGAGAGAGGTGGTGGAGAGGGGTGGGGGGGGAATGGTGGGGGGTGCCTGGAACACTGTCGATGTTTTTCATGCAAGAACCATCTCTTTGAACTGTAGGGCCTATTTGCACGTGAAGGAACTGAAGAACATTCTGAAACTGGATGACGGTTCATCTCTCAATATTTTCTTTGCCAATTCGTCGGACGAAGAGCTTGTTGGAGTTGCCACGTGGCCGTGGGACAAAGAGGCCTTAACCCAACTAGGTAACCGAGCTACTGTGTCTTTCTGTCTGTATGAGATGGTCACTAGTTGTCACATCAGTGGCTTTGATCGTTAACAATAGGAAACGTTCAACCCTTTCTCAAGCATCCAAGTCAATGTTGTGATCTCGAGATTCTTGCTGCGTTGTATTGCTTTGCTGTTATTAGAAGCAAACCGGAATTGAAGATGAGGATCTTCTGGCTTTAATTAAATGCTTTACCTCCCCAACTCCGGTTCAGACTCACGGTCAGCTGTATGGAGGGATTTGAGAGATCCCTTCGACGTGAAAGGTTGTATGTAAATCCAAATTGCTGCTGCCGCTGCTGCTGTTATTGATCGTTCGTCCCAGTCACTGTAAAGCACTCTGGGATGTTATTCTATGTGAAGGCCGCTATATGAATGCACGTTTTTGCGGTCTTGAGTGTTCTAAAGCAGTGGAACTCTATTACACTTTCTCACATTCTGATTAAAGCTGAATGATAACATAGCAGCCAATGTCAATGACATGAATCAACGTTGGTTGACCCAAAATACTGTGTGTGCGTCAACAGCAGCTTAATACTCACAAAGATTCCAATCAACGCACAAGCTCATATTTTGCCTTGGGGAGGGATTTACTTTTTCCATCACTTGGAATTACATGTGTTGTCAACTAAATAGTAATGAAACCCCACCCACCCCACACACACACCCACTCTCCCGCTGACCGTTTGCTATTCTGTCTGTAGCATGATTTGGTTTTGTGTACCCAGGTGGCATTGTGTTGAACCCTTCGTTCTATGGACGCATCGATCACACTCACACCATGATCCACGAAATCGGCCACAGCCTGGGGCTGTACCATGTCTTCAAGGGCATATCTGAAATCGAGTCGTGCAACGATCCGTGCATGGAGACCGAGCCGTCGATGGAGACGGGAGACCTGTGCGCCGACACCAACCCCACGCCCAAGAACAAACAGTGCCGTGACCCCGAGCCTGGCAACGACACCTGCGGCTTTGGCCGTTTCGTCAACACACCTTTCTCCAATTTCATGAGTTACGCGGGTAAGAAAAAAAAGAAAAAAATGCACAGTGGATCGACTGAACAAACAATGAATCTACCAACTTGTGGAGAAGGAGAGAGAGAGAGAGAGAGAGAGCAAAAACACTTTCCTAAATTAAATGGGCTCCATTTAGCAAGAAGCTTCGATTTTCCTTTAAACAAACAAATTATCTAATCCTTATTTTGTTGAGCATTTTTTCCAATATGTAAAAGTCCCATCTCTAAGACGGCAGTTAAATTTATGTAAGAGCCATATTTGTGTTGGCTGGTACCCACACCATGGCAGACTATGTACTAAACAAACATCCAAATATTATTGAAACACCGTGATTTTTTAACCATATTACACAGACTTTTGTCTGCCTAAAGCAAACGCCGCACAGGAAATGATTGTTTTCAGGGAAGAGAGGATTAAAAAGGTCAAAGAACAAGGTTTCCCTTCGTTAGCGATGGAACATTTTAATGTTGCTGTAAAATTGTGTACAATGGCCAGACAAGGATTTGGAGGAGAGAACACACTAAGGTCAACCTCAATTATGTTCTCAATTGATAGTTCTGAACGTTCATTCACAAGATTGGGTTGGATGAAGGAGGCCTTTTCGTCCCATCTGATCTCATCCCTCCACCTTACCTATCTTACCATCCTCCCATGACAGCATCAAGCTTATGTTACTTTGAGGTGAATTGGAATGGTGTTTAATAAAATGAGCAACAACAAGGGCAGCATGAATGATTTAGATGTGAGCAGGTGAGGGCTGATGTGCGGTGGGGGTGGAGAGAAGTGGGCAAAATATTGTTGGACTCGGTTGCTTATCTTTCAACTCTGAAGCTCGTTTGGAGAGAGTGAAGGTGACGGAAAAGGCTCATGCTCACGGGGACAGACAAATGCAGGAAAAGCAATGAGTTCTGGGGTTATGATAGAAGTTACATGATCATCCCGGTCATTATGTGTCGTGTTTTTTTTCTCTCCTCTTTCCAAAGATGACGACTGCACCAATTCCTTTACCCCCAACCAAGTGGCAAGGATGCACTGTTACCTGGACCTAATATTCCAGAGTTGGCAGCCCCCCAAGAAACCGCCGCCTATCCCGGTGGCCCCCGAGATCATACACCAGACGGCGGGATCTGTGCTTCTCCAATGGGTTCGTCCAGTCAACAAGCACTTTTACGAGAGGTGAAACAGAGCATCAGTCACACGATCCATAATCCGCTGTCCAGTGTTAGCCAGGCACACGTGCTTAACAGCGGGTCACCCCGTTAGATTTCAAAGCCGTACAGACCAAAAGCACCCGGTTCTTTCCTCGGTCCTGGCCGGCAGCTGGCCGGTTTGCTACACGGACTATACATGGGACACCTTCTCCCCGTTACTGTACCACACTAATATTGCAAGTGGATCTTCCATGTCCATTTTCCTGGGTAGATTATAAGCGCAGCCGGCGAAGCTTAGTAATAGTTTGTTGCGAGAGTTGGCTATTCCTCCGACTGAGTCGGGCTGACAGCAGTACTCTCTCTAAAACAGCAGCAAATTCCGTTTGTAGTAGCGCCTCTCACGTCAGGAGGACATCCCAAAGCACTGGACAGTCAGGGATCCGCGAAAACAAAATGGGGTGCGGTAAGCGTATCTATTGTATGAACGTTGTGTTGTAACGCGACACTCTCTCTCTCCCCCCTTTCTTCCTGGCTTCTTAGAGAAGTGGGATCAGTGTGTGAGGCCTGCAGTGAGCACGGAGCCTTGGTTCAGTACACCTACAAGGCTTCGTCTCCCCTACCTTGTGACTCATCGGGACACTGGAGCCCCAGGGAAGCAGAAGGTGAGACCCTGTTTTTTTTAAATGCCAAAAAAACCCACCAGCGAGATCCCAATCACGCTGCGGAGGGGTTTACAATGAAGAGGCTTTGGTTTTGAAAGCGGGAAAGCTACGTCACCGTATGAAGAGTGGTTGGCTCAATCGCTTTTTTTTCTAGCAACGTTCCTTGCATCCGATCCGGCGCCATTTTCACGTTTTCGAGACGTCTCAAAGCGCTACAGAATATACCGTAAAGTGAATCGACTGTATGCTTTGTGGGCGAAACTCGGCGGCCAATCGCTTAACGGCAGCGTCCCCACAGGCAGTGGATTTTTTGTGTGCTTGTTTGGTGCGGTGACGTTGAAACACAATACAGTGCGATCGACATATTGGGTTGAAAAGTATGTTGAGACAGAGAAACTTGTGACCCATCCTGCCTGTGCTGGCTGTTCTCAAGAGTCACCCTTTCAGTCCCACTTGCCTGCCCTTTCCCTTCCTTACATCCCTGCAACTCACACAGAGGGAAGGGAGGCTGATAATGGGGGGAAACATTCATAAATAAGTAAATTAACAAATAAATAAATGAACAAATAAGTAAGTAAGTAAATAATTACGCCAAATATACCAAACCAGTTGTAAAATGTCCGTTACAGACGAAAGAACACGGACATGAAAAGACAGTAGCTTGTGTGAAACTAATATGTTGACATGGTCATAACATGGTGGGGGGGGGGGGGGGGGGGGGGGGGGGGGGGAGAGAGAAAAAAATACACACAATGCCAAATCCACAGCAGGTTTTGTAGACGACGTAGACACAATGCAGCACTGCGAGCGGCAATACACGTTTTTTAATAAAAAAAAACAAAAGTATAACGTGTGGCATTGGTGCAAAAGAAAACCAGATTGATTAGGCTCCTAAAAGAGCAATTGCCAGCAATTCAACGCAACACTTTCCCTTCCAACGTCTATCTCTGTTTGGAATGGAACCAGCTTCTTCAGCGCTGGGGTGATCTCCAGGCATATTTTTTCCTGTTCTATTCCCCCCTTCTCTAGGCCCCCGTGCTGCCCTTCGGTTGAAATTCAGTCGAGAGAGAGCAAAAAAAAAATAGTAATTGAAAGAAAAAGAAATCAGAGACGAGGCAAAGAAATGCAAGTGTTTCCTGTCATGTACGGAGGGTGCAGAAAGTCCTGCGCGTTCAGCAACAGTATCTAGAGGTTACAGAAATCAAACCTCACACATCACACCAGCCATTAATCTATCCGCTAGTAGGACAGTACTCAACAGTGCTTAGGTTTTTGTTGTTGCTGTGTGGAATTGCTATTTCTAATCTCTCCGGTAATACACTATGTTGCTCAAAGGAAAATAAACTGGATAAATATTTGTACCGTTCGACAGTCTGTTAAGAATAATCCCAGCTTGTGGTTCGCTAAGTGAAAGCTTTTCAGCCAGTCGCTTTCTTAAGGTTAAGAATAAACAGCTGAAAAGGCTTTTATGTATAATAATAATAATAATAATAATAATCCTTGCATTTGATATAGCGCTTTTCACGTCAGGAGGACGTCCCAAAGCTCTTCACAGAATATACTGTAAAGTGAATTGACTGTATATTTGTGGGCGAACGCGGCAGCCAATTGCGCACAGCAATGTCCCACAAACAGTCGTGGATTGAAAATGACCAATTTATTATTGTTTTTGGTTTTGGAGGGATTATTATTAGGCGTGTGGAGTATTTTTTGTACAAAAATAGAATCTACACGGGGGATTTTATATTTTCTGATCCTTTCATCTTCTCCCCAACCCCCCCCCCCACCACCACCTCTCCCCACCTCGTCCCCCTTTTTAGGACCTCCTGATGTAGAGCAACCCTGTGAAAACAGCGTCAGGACTTGGAGCCCAGACGCTGGCGTAGATCAGAAAACAATTCCCCCCGCCTGCCCGGAACCCCAGGGATGTTACTTGGAGCTGGAGTTCCGCCACGCGCTAATTCCCGATTCCCTGACTATCTGGGTCACCTTCATGTCCACCGAGTGGGCGGCTCACGGAGCCATCCACAACGTCAAGCTGCTGACCGTGAGTGGCAACAACATCTCCCTGGGACCTCAGAACGTGTTCTGTGACGTGCCCATTACTGTCAAGCTCTCGGTCGCGGAGGAGGTGTACGGGATCCAGATTTTCACCCTGGACGAGCATCTGGAGATCGACGCAGCCATGCTGACCTCAGGAGCCCAGAATGCTCTGTGCAAACAGTGCCAACCAGTCCAGTACCAAATCATCCGAGACCCACCTTTTAAGGCGGGAAGAAGCATCACCGTCCTGGGCAGACGATTTGAGGACACGTAAGTGCTGTGTTTTATTATATATCTATATACACACAGACACACACAGACAAACACACTCACACACACACACACTCACACACACACATTTCAAAAACAAATTAGATAAGATTTATTTTAGGAAACAATATCGTGCGATACAGTATATACCGTTTGGGACATGACATGTGTATGTCACTGCCAGGAGGGTGGAAGGTGAACTGGATAGACCTTGGTCTTCGAGCAATTCTTATGTTCTAATGAAAGACTAGATTTTTTTTCGTTATGTGCTTAAGGAGTAATCCTGGTTCAAACTCTTCCCCCTTCCACCCCACATCCTTATATCAAGTGCAAGGATTATTATTAACAATTAGGGTTATTGGTATTGTTATTATAGGGCAAGGAAGGGAACGGGAAAAGCGGGCACATCCAATAAGACTTTATGGGATAGGTAGATTTTTTTTCCTATAAAGTTATAGAAGGAGGCGTTCAAGTTTATAAGTGCAATCCATAAAAAAATTCCTGTCTTCTGTTTGATGTCAGAATCGCGGATTCCCAGAACTCATGATTTTCTGCGCTCGTTTCAGAAATAAAAGCTATATATAGGTCATCTGACGATGGAATTGCTTTTCAGAGGGCATTCTTTCGACATGTTGTTGCAGTAAAGTGGAATTTATTCTAAAATTCCTTTAACTGGGAGTCACAGGTCATATTGTTAAAATGTTTGTGTTCCAAAAATATCCAGAATTATATTGTCCCCAAAGCTCGAAGGCTTGCTTTGTTTTCAAAAAACTTTTTGCCTGTGTAAATGTGGTCTAAATTGGTGGTATTTCTTAATGGATTTCCTTGACACAGTGCGTGCACACACCCACACTGGGGAGGGCGTCACCAGATAGGCATCTGTAGAGGACATTGTTAACGACTCTATTGACACCTCAACTACAGTGTAGATCAACAACAAGAACCACGACTTGCACTTGCGCAGCACAACCCCTTTCATGTTGGAGAACGTCTCAAAGTGATTTTACAGCCACGGAGTGTGGCCAAAGAAGAGGCCACCAGAGATTTTTAGGTGGGTTCTAAAAGCAGAGAGCGAGAGAGAGAGAGATTTTAGGGTTCCGGGATTTAGAGAAAGCGCCACGGAGAGTGGGGACAAAGTAGCCGAAGGCTCACCCAGCGCCAAGGAGAAAACCTGGGACAATCAGCGATCAGTTAAGCGCTCTAGGACGCTACCCCGCACGAGGGGCGCTATATAAATGCAAGTTGTTGTCGTCGTTATTGTATCAGTCGGACTCATCTCTGGGCGGGTGTTTCACCAACTGAGCGATTGAGCTCTCTCCCCCTTTCCTTGCATTTGAAAAATAACCTTTTTCGAGCCCTCCAAAGGCTACAGTTCTTAAAACACAGGGGCCTAATCTGCAACGCTCGAGCTGAGTGAAATTATCACAGCAAGTTAGCTAAGAGCAGCCTTCGCTGCTGCTTTGATGTGTATGGACGGACTTGTCATCCCGGCACGATTCTCTCAGGAAGAGGCTGTGGAACCCCAAAAGCTGTCGAGCGATTCGTCTCTTGGAAGGTGAAGGGCAGCCAAAAGGCATGGAATCAGACTGCATTCCCGGTCTGCACGGAGGGGCATTATAAAAACCACCGAGACAAGTAAACGCATAGACGGTTCCCTCCGGGCTAAATCTGGAACTCTGGAATGAAATGCTGAGAGAGAGAGAGAGAGAGAGAGAGAGAGAAATATCCATGCAGAGGGCGCTCAGTTTGTTTTTCCAGCCACAGATCAGGTCTGCTCAGCCAAGAGAGCTTTAAAATCGATGGAATTCTTGTTGAATAACGACAACGCTCCTGATTGCAGCAGTCAGCGTGAAGCGATTCTAAACACACACCAGCTTTGGCCTCTTCTGCTTCACGTTCAGAGGTATAATACAAACCCGCGCTCATTCCCATTGACTGGCAATCACTGGGGGCAAGGATTCCTCCCACTCAGCTCTCATGAAGCCCATTTCTAACAGGCAGGTTGGACCTAGCCGGACAAGCAGCAGGAAGCTTGCCAGACAGTGCTCTCAATGGCAAGCTATGTGATATTAAACTCCAGCAGTTACCCGCAACACATATTCTGGGGTTGCCCCAAGCCTTGGCTCTCGCATCCTGGGCCTGATACTCTCTGGATTAGGTTAAGCAGAGCGAGTCCTTCTGGCGAGAGTTTGGGTTCTATTCCAGACATGGAAATTGGCACCTGCAGGTGGCAAAATGCACAGTCAATCCACTTTAAGGTATATCCCGTGAAGCACTTTGAGACGTCTCGACTACGTGATAAGGCGCAGTATCAAAATGCAATGATCATTATTATTATTACATGGAACGCTCAGTCTGCTTTGGATACTCTTAAGCTTTCCGCATGCATCAGAAAACCTAGACTGACCGAAACAAATTGATTCCCAATGCTGAATATCTACCATTGGTTCAACATAAGCCCACCCTCTGATCACGCCAATGGGGATGATAATTCAGGGTCACTTACTTTGCTAATATTTTAGCAATGTGGATTTTTTTTTGTGACATTTGATGTGCAGATTTGTTCTTGGGAGGGGTGTGTGTGTGTGGTTTTATTTATATAGATATATATTTGCATTCCTCGAACTATGAAGCAGATGTCACTTATTTAAAAAAAATGATACGGTGAATTTCAGATGACTTTAGGAGTGCGTTTCAGGGGCTGGAACATGCTGGAGGGGTTTGCACGATGCCATAAACCAGTGGAGAGAAACCCGAGCAGTTTACAAAGGTTATTTGAGCTGCTTTACAGCGTTCCACCCTGGAAACCACTCAAGGCCATCTTCCCTTGCTTCCGGTTTTGTCACCTCTTCTCCTCGCTACGCAGTCTCTCAGCGGGACTCTGCATCTTTTACAGCCCCAGGGGGGAGGGAAAGGGAGGGAAAGAGAAAGAGAGAGAGAGATTGTCGGCCAGGACATCGGGAGAAAACTCCCTTTTGTTTTCAACTAGGGCCACGGGATCTTCAACGTTCATCCGAATGAGTAGACTGGACCTCGGTTAAAGGTCTCATCCTAAAGACGGCACCTTCAACAATGGGCAGCTCCCCCCCGCTCAGCATTTGCCTAGATGTTGTGAGAGACAAGGCCCTACAGAAACAGTCAGAATCCACCCAAATATGATCCCAAGCACACACCGGAGATCGATCCCATTAAAGGCAGAGCCAGTACCTACAGCCAAGCTTTAGGCAAAGCCATTCATTCCTCCTTCCAAGAGGGTCTATTCCCAGTGCACATTTCTTTGAGAATCGTAGAATCGTACAGCACAGAAGGAGGCCATTCTGCCCATCCTGCCTGTGCCGTCTCTTTGAAAGCTTCCAACTAGTCCCACTCCCCCATGTTTACCCCATAGCCCTGCAAATGTTTCCTTTTCAAATACCTATCCAATACCCTTTTGAAAGCTACTTTTGAATCTGCTTCCATCAGCCTTTCAGACAGTGTATTCCATTCTACTCTTCCCTCGATTCCCATTTTTGTTTCCAAAGCTATTGTTTCCTGGTCCCTTGACGTTAGTTGCATTTAAGCTGTTCCCCCCCCCACCTCCCCCAACACTTTCTTGTTGGTTTCCATTGCAACAACTTAATTCTGCAGTTCCATCCCTCAAAGTTCATCAAATCCCATTTCACGTTATTGGTGAAACCAGCCAAGCATCTGAAGTAGAGAGAGCACCAACCTTTGTAAGTTGTCTGATCATTGATTTCTGCAACACTGCCCCTCCCAAATTTGCTTTTCAAGACATTCAATTTGAGTAGATACCCCATGGCTAGCGCCCCCTAATGGACCTATGTGGCACTCTACATGCTAAACACAAGAAGAGGGTCCATTTAACCTCATCTTTCATCCTACCTCTGCAACCTCCTGCAACTCCATTGACCCAGCCGCTATTGGTGTTGTTTCTACGGTTCCGCACGACTCTTAAGATAAGTTCGATCTTACAAGCAAAGACGAGGTGGAATTTGGGGCCTTAAGATGTCCACAGTTTGTGGTCAGGGAGCGAGAGGAGGGTGGGCTGGAGCAATAACTATAATATTAAGAAACTGTGATGGTTTACCAGATCTAATGCCTGCTGAGTTCCTATATAAAATGAAAGGTGAAATAAAGGTCAGGACTAATAAAAAAAAACATTCTTTGATGTACCACCTTGTTGTGAGGAAAGGGCAAGGCGGATACAAAATACTTGTGAACTTTGCCCCGTAGGAAGGAGTTTTTGATCCCCCAACCCCCCTCCTTCGCAACAGCTATCCGATTTCCCGTAAAACTTCACAAACCTTTTCCAGTCCCCGACAAAACAAAAATGCTGGAATTTTAATGACAGAGATTTGTCTCGATTATTATCCGCTCTATATGAGAGTTTCATTAAAAGAAACATGCACACATATACAGTCTCCCTCGGTCTTGTAATACTTCTGAATATGCCCCCTGAGAAAAGTTGGGCGATAATTCTGAGCACACTTTGGTTCACGCGGAAAATAAATATCTCTTTATTGTTTCAACAAGGTGACTACGGAATTTGTTTCCGTGGTTTATGGTGTCATTCATGCACATCAATTAGATTCTGAAAAGTAAAATAATACCAATAATAATCCTTGTATTTGATAAAGAGCCTTTTGTGTAAGGAGCATGTCTCAAATTGCTTCACAGGATTCACTGTAAACTGTAGTGACTGTTTTCCAGGCGAACTTGGCTGCCGATTAGGCATAGCAGTGTCCCCCAAACAGCCATTAAGTGAGCAACCAATTTTATTTGGGGGATTGTTGGCCAGGAGAAACTCTTTTCAACTTGCGCCACAGTATCTCTATCTTCCACCTAAACAAGCACAGATGGGATCTCGGTTTAACTTCTCATTTGAAGGACGTCACCTTCAACAACGCAAGGCACCCCCCAGCCCCCACCCCACCAGCATTGCACTGGAGTGTCAGCCTAGACTGCGAACTCATAGTCCAAACGTGAGGCTTGAACCTTCTGACTCAGTTCCGGCCTTGGAAAGGCCAAGCTATGTCCCTGTCCCAAAAGGATCGATTTCTTATTAAGATATAGCACTCATTTTATTAAACTCGGAGAAGCCAGACAAGTTAATAGACCCATTAGATTTCAAGACCTTTGCGGTTCAAGTTCAATGCTTCGCTGACTGACCGAGCTACTGTGCGCCCCACCCCCGCCACCCCAACCCCCTCACGAATAGGAAAACGAAAGATTGACACATCGTTCTTCAAAGCTGCTAGTTACTGGAAACCATTCCTGCAAATGTGACATTCAGTACGTTGGTTCACAAGCAACGAATGAAGCGAATCAGTGAAATAACCATTGGAATGGAAATACAGGAAATGAAGGGTTTGCAAGGGACTGGATTTATACTGTAAAAGCAGTGACAATCAGACTCACCAAGGTAACACCAAAAGGCTGTGGATGCGGGATCCATTCAAATTTTCAAGACTGAGCTGGATAGATTTTTGTTATGTCAGGGTATCAAGGGATATGGGGCAAGGGCAGGTAATTGGGATTGAGGTACAGATGGGCCATCGTTTAATTGAATGGCGGAACAGGCTGGAGGGGCTGAATGGCCTACTCCTGTTCCTATGTTCCTATATAATTTCAGTAGATGCCACTTGTGAGCCTCTCGCTGTGTCTGCCCCGATTATTACTGTATTTCTTCGCTGCTCATCCGAGTAGCTCGCTCCCTTCCAAATCGGCTCACGTTCTCAGACGAGATCGTGAGTTCATTACGGCATCAGGTTACCCCGGTGGCTTTCGCTGCCCGCAAATGCCTTCACTTGCAAGATGAAGCTCTAACTGGCTGCAGGTTTCCTGCCATTAATCTTGGCGCACTGTTGGGGTTCTCCAGTAAACCACTGTGACAGACACATTGCGCACGTGGTAAGGGATTTGGGGAATGGAATACCAAGTGCATTCTTGGCACTTACTATCAGCAGTCAAGAACTGCCAAGTCAGGTAGAGCGAGGGCCAGATGTAGGGTAAGCTCGTTCGCTACTATTTCTCAACCAAGTTCCTCAGCCCCGACATTGACTAAGCAAACACAGGCAGAAAGGAACAAACGCATTCTCAAGGCAGGAGCCAAGTGGTGTAGGTGAGTGAGCAGGTCTGTCGTAACCCTGCACCCACAAGGTTTGCAACGTTGTTTATTATTGGACCTTGAAGGTAAGCAAGACTGGCAAATAGTGGACCAAAGCACCATCGCAGGGAAAGAACAGTCACCCACTTCCCTCACCCGAATCCCTGCCATCATAACGTCTTCAAATTACCAGCAAACGTGTTGGAGAGGTGAATGTTAACAGTGACAAACTTGCGCTTTTTATAGCGCTTTTCAAGCAGAAGTAAATGCTTGGAAGCGCTCCGCAGACAAACAAAAAATACGGCATGCCTTCATCAACGAACCCCAGAAACCTCATTTCACATTGACGAACGATTTGTGAACCTCAAACAAACTTGCGTCATTTTCTCCAGAGAAAATAGATTGAAAGTGAGTGTCACAAACGGTAATGGACTATAAAACGTTTGGTTTCCGAACACCCAAACTGACCTAAAATTGGCCAAGGCGTTAGCCTTTTGTTCCACTTTGTCGATCTGTTGTAGTTACGTATTCCCGTGCACACAACCAGTCTTCTCGCCGAATGCCTTTCACGTCAGGAGGGCGTCTCAAAGCGCTTCGCAGAATACACTATAAAGCGTAGTGACTGTGAAACTCGTGGGCAAACACGGCGGCCGATTTTGCACGCAGCAGCCTTTCCGCAAAACAGCCACAAAGTGAATGAGACTTCGCCGCAACTGGATTCCTGAAATCAGGAATATCTGATTTGCCAGCAGGAAATTGTTCTTTTCAACAACAAGAATCTCGCTGGGTCGCTGAGCGCTGTGCTCTCGAGGACTGAAAGCAGACGGATCGAGTTCATTGTAATTTTGCGCATTAGTTCTGCATTATCATCGTAAATCTCATGCCACCGGCCTCAGAAAGTTTTTTTTTTAAAAAACAAAACCAAACAAACGTGAAAGAACCCAAGCAGGAGAAATTGGCATGGTTCTCCACTCAGACTAGCGCACACAGGATTACCCATTCATAGAGTTGAACGCAGGCCTGATCACATCCCACCGCAACAAGGACGAGGTAACTAGCATTGAACCTGAGGCCGTTGTTAAGAAGGTAGTTTCAGTGGCATGTGTGTAATTCAAACCTGAGGACTAATAGAACTGACAGGATTCCCCCCGACCCACCAAAAAAAGGAACTGTGACCGCATCAAGACTCAGAACGTACTACAAGACGCAAAGAGCGATGTGACAGAGTTTATGAACGTTATTTGAGCCGCGAGATTGTGTTACAACCGTTAAAGTCCTTCCCAGAGAATTCATATATTGGTTTGTCTAATGGACCCGCACAGGATGTTTTCAGATTCGAAACACACTGATTTCCTCAGAATAGTTACATGGCCGTTGGCTGCCTGTGTTTGTCACAGAGTCGAGTGTACTACGCTGATTTATTCTGCCTTTCGTTTAACCGTTTGTAAGACACAGACTGTGATCACGTTTCGCCATTGTTACAGTATTTTTATTTACTTCTTCTTTCTCCTTCTTTCACTGCTTCTGTCTCCCACTTCTCCTCCCACGCCCCCCCTCACCCCACAGTTAAATAGAAAAAGTACATTGAAATGCTTTCACAAGCACCAGGACAACAAACAAGAGGGCACAGGTTCAAGGGCTGGAAAGGGGGCAATTTCAGGACAGACACCAGGAAATATTTCTTTACCAAGAGGGTAATTCAAACCTGAACAGGTTAAAAAATAACAACAACAATAAATACTCCTTGCATTTGATACAGCGCCTTACCACCTCTTTGAGACGTCTCAAAGCGCTTCACAGGATATACTGTGAAGTGAATTGACTGTATTTTGTGGGCAGAAGAAACTCGGCAGCCAATTACGCACAGCAGCGTACGATGATGGCTGGAGGCAGGCACGAATTTGGAAGAGTATCATCTGCCATCCGCAAAGCAATAACCGTTGCTGCGTTGCAAATTCCAGTCCCATTCTTCCCCAATTTGAACATGAATTAAAGAGGACAAATACTCAGTGGGTTGCGGTAAATGGGTGGTGGTGGGGTAGATTTGCGGACATGGAATGGACACACAGCCTGTTAGAAACAGTGCCAATTGAATCAATCTGATCCAGCTGTGGGCCGGCTGCTTTGGATAGGCTCCTTTGCAAGGCAGCGAGCCAGTTTAATCAGTAACAGGACTAAAATGAAAAAAGGCAAGGTTTATTTATTGAGGTTTTCCTTGTGTCAGCAGGGAAGTGAAACATGGGATTCTGTACAAGTATCAGGTGGTAGCTGTGGTGGGCACGGACGAAAATGAACCCTCTCCAGAACTGATCCACGTGCATGGAGCTGCCTACTGCGGTGATGGTGTGATCCAAAGGTAAGCATGCCAGGACAATACAATCAGATGGCACGTGCAGCACAGAAAACACGCTAGGCTATTGCCCTTATAAAGCAAACATTCTTAAAGGGCCCGTTCTTCACCTGAGACAATCTAATCCAACTTTCCTATCCGATTGCCCGTATCCTTTGATATTCCTCCTCTTCAAGAATGCATCCAATTCCCTTTGTAATAGGACCTCCGGTGACTTTCATGAAGGGAAGATGCCTCGAAGAGTAGGGACTGTAATTTGTAGGCAAATGCAGCGTTCAATTTACACGCAGCAATGTCTCACAAACAGCCAGGAAGTGAGTGACCAATTCTTATCAGAGGGATTGTTGGCCAGGACACCGGGAGAAACTCCTTTCTCTTTTCGAATAGTGCAATGGGAACTTTACAGAGACCTCGGTTTAACTTCTCATCTGAAGAATGGAGTCACCGAAAACACTGCACTCCCCCAGCTCTGCATTGGAGTGTTAGCCGAGACCGTATATGAGTTTGAAGATTGTGCTCACAACCTTCTGACCCCACCACGCTGCTCAAAATGGAGCTGATGCATCTCATATGCCTTGGGACGTCCTCCCGATGTGATAGGCGCTCTATAAATGTAAACGCACATTGTATTGTTATGTTGTATTTTCCAACACAAACAAAACGGGACTGAATTCAAAGGTTTTGCTGGAGGACTTTGTGGGAATGGTTCACATCAGGTTTGGTGTCTGGTTTTCGTGGTGGCAGATAGGATTACTATTACTAGGAGTGTTAATTATTATTAATTACTATTACTAGGAGTGTGCGTGCCAGTGCCCACGGATAGATACAGACCTTATTTAGTTCCTGGTGAGTTGCTAAAGTGTATTAGAAACAATATCTTTTTGGGTAACCACCTTGCGATCTGCTGCTGTCTGGCTTCTGCTCGAGTGAGAGAGATTAGTTTATTCCGACCAGGGGAGTGGATTTCTGTGGTGAACTTGCAGGTTAACGTGGGTGGGAAGGTTGTGTTGTGCTTTTTATTAATCTGACGGGTGTCCCATGTCACCGTCAGCACTCTAGTAATTGTGGCAACGTGCGAGAATGATACTCAGGGTCAAAGGCATGAGTTAGAAGGCACGACTAGATAAACTGGGGCTCTTCAACCTTAAGAAGCAATGTCTCACAGGGGGCTTTGCAGAGGTATATAAGAGGCTGAATGATATAAAATAAATTCACAGCAATTCTTTCAGGCATCCCAAAGCAGCAAGGTAAAATAGGGCACAGGTTTAGCTTTGTAAAGTGGTGGTGGGTGGGAGTGGTTTGGATCTATAACAGGAATTATTTCTTGAAACAGAAGGTAATTAACAACTGGAAGCGATCACCGGGAAGGAGGGAGAGGAAAGCGGATTCATTTAAGAAATGGTTTGTTGCCGTGATGAGAAATGGGTTCAGTGAGTATTCTGGAAAATTAGATCAAATGGACCTTGTTCATCTGAACCTCTCGTCAATGTTGGCATCGAACAGCCCCACCTTTAGCGGAGGGCAGAAAGAAGCCGTAAAAGACTTGAAGTAAATAGTCACTGAACGAAATGATGACAGCAAGTAGTGCTGGGAGATTGTAGTGGACAAGACAAGGCTGGATCCTTAGGCTGGAACCTAATTGAGCGAATTCTGGCTCTAAGTGAAATTTTCTTTGGCCACAGGAGCCAAGCAGAGCATTGCTGCGTTGGCAACGCATCAGCAATACACGATTGTTTTTGGAGTCGGGCTCCTTCAATTTAGAGTCAAAGCCTTTCAATGGCCTCACGCTGATCTCTTCCCCCCACACCCCCTCTACACCCACTCTCTGAGATTCTGCCAATTCAGCAAAGCCCTGATGCTCTGTTTACTTTCAACCACAAGGCTATACCATAAAAATGGGCACTGGTCAGTGCTTCCTGGTTGTCAGGAGATCTGCAGCTGATGTCATTTCCTGCGCAGGAAGACAACATCCACTCTTGAGAGAGGTTCCAGTGGATTCTGGGATACCAATAAAGGCCTGGAGACTTCCCGTTCCTGAACGCTATGTGCAGGAAGATGGCTAGTCAGTGCCAGAACCTCAATGTGTAGCGAACATAGAGTATTCCCCAGGAAGAGCGTGCTGTCATGTGCTACACTGGGGCACATTATAAGGGGGTGTTGGCCTGTGATAGAGAAAACCACAAGACTTGAATTATTGAATTAGACTAACTTTCCATTCAAACGTTTCTTACCCTCCCATCTCCTGTTAATGATTATCCATGTTCAATCCAGGGAAATGGGAGAAGATTGCGACGACAAGAATAAGGCGAATGGCGATGGCTGCTCCAGGTTTTGTCGGCAGGAACCATCTTTCAAGTGTATGGGTAGGTACTGCTTTGCACTGCTTGACCATCTTCCAGTTTCAAATCCCTGAAGCTCAACAATTTATAATAATCCTTGTATTTCATACCGCGCTTTATCGCGTCTTCTCAAAGTGCTTCACAGAATACACCATAAAGTGGATTGACGGTATATTTTGGGAGCGAAATGCGACAGCAAATTGCGCACAGCAGCGTCCCACAAATAGTCGTGGATTGAGTGACCAAATCATTATTATTTTTTGAAGGGATTATTACCCCAAAAAGGTGATTTGCCAATCGACTAACAACCGCGTTTCTACTTACTGCTAGGTAAACAGAGGCGTGTGGAGTGAGGAAACTTGCCCACCATTTCGCCCTGCTTGGGCATTGAACCCAGGTCCTCTTGCTTGCGAGGCGAGTGCCCTAACCACTAAGCTATAGGACTCCAAGTTACATGTAATGCACAATGAAGTGGATAGTCCAATAATGTGATGAGAAGCATTGCATTACTGTGGTTAACCACACACCAAGCTACTTGTCAGATCCCAGTGCCCTATCAATTAGGACTTTGGTTTGAACATGTCCACATCCCCAAGTCTGCTTTGGATTACTATAGTGCAGCCTGAATTTGCTCCTTGGAGGCAGTTCGCTCCTGGAGGAGACCTCACTTATCTTCCCATGGCCTTTTCCCAGGAAATCTAGATACGTTATTGATTCTAGCAACCTCAGAATGATAAAGGGACTCAACCCATAATATTACTGCTGAGTTAAGAGTTTTCCTACAGTGGGAACTGGATGAGATTCAATAATGCTCCATCAATTGGACAGGACAGGTTATGGAACCCCTTTTTATATAGTTACAACAAGAGATGTGAAATGTTCTCAAGTGACTTGTATGTTGGACTTATTTATCTCTGGGCTTAATTTATAGCATAGTCATTGACTTTGTAGCTGTTGGTGGGACATCGTTCCGTCTAAACTTGGCTGCCATGTCCGCTAAAAAACACACAATCACTGCACTTTACATTATATCCTGTTAAGCGCTTTGGGAAGGTTCTCCCGACGTAAAAGGCTCTGTGCCAAATGTAAGAGTTATGATTATTATTATGATTGTAACATGAACAGCCGGGGTCAAAAAAATAGAAAAAAAAGGGAGCCTTGCAATAAAAATCCGTGCAATTTTCGGGAAAAAAATAACAAAGTCCTTCGACGCATTTGATTTACTACAGCAAAAACATGACTTTTGCGTGCCTGAGATTGCACGTTGGCAGAAAGGCCGGGGCACTGAGTAGAGGGGAAACCATTCGGGTGCAGGTTTTCCGTGACATTCCAACAAAAAAAACCTTAACTCCCGAGTTTTGGTTTGAAAACAGGAAGAGAGGACTAGGGTCTTTCATCAGCTTTCTAGACTTTGTGAACCCTGCTGCCTCAACTCCGACTCAAAACAGATTGTGTCAATACGAGCTCACTGGTACAAATAGGTGAAGCCGGGCCGTTTTAACAGAAGGGTTCGGGAGATAAGTCTGCATCCTGCAAACCTGTTTCCTGTTCGTGTGGCGGGCTTCAGGATGGGCACCTTTGCACAGTGTATAATCATCTCGTACGATTCCATGGGGAGATGGACGGGGGCGTGAGGGGGGGGAGGGGTGGCAGGGAAGGGGGGGGCAAAGGAGTAAGGAAGTGCAACAGAGCTTTGTATCAACCAGATCAACGTCAACGTGTCCGCTGTCTTGTTCCGAGTTGCATCAAAAAAGGTGGCAGAACTGAAGATGAGAAAGAGAGAGAGAGAGAGAGAGAGAGAAAGAAACAGGAAAGGAATGGGCAGCTGATGTGTTTTCCTTTCTGGGTTCTCCCGAGTTAAAAGAAAGGAGAGAGATTAAAAAAAAAAGTTGCTCTGGCACCTTGCTACCCGCCTTTGCCTGCCGCGAAGAGGTTTGTTTGTTTGAGTTAGAGTAACTTTCCATTCATACGTTTCCTACCCTCCCATCTCCAGGCTTTGATTTCATAGACATACCTCCATATCCCAAAGTAGTGTATAAAACAGCAGGCGGGCACTGAAATAAAAGAACTTCACATGATTTCTTTTTAGACCTCTTTTTTTTTTTCTCTCTCTCTCACGCTCTCTCCTTCCCTCTCTCCCTCCCTCTCTCTCTCGCCTCTTGCAGACGAGCCGAGTAGGTGTTACTTTCACGACGGAGACGGAGTGTGTGAAGACTTTGAGAAAATGACCAGCGTGAAAGACTGCGGTCTCTACACGCCGAGTGGGTTTATGGACCAGTGGGCCATCAATGTTTCAGTCTCGCACCACCATGATCAATACTGCCCTGGGTGGGTGATAATCGGTCATCCAGCGGCTACTAAGGTAAAGACGACTGCGAATTGCACGTTTCAAACACTGATAGCGTATTTTACATTGCGAGGAACATCTCAAAGCCTTGACGCTGCTGGCAGGTCACTTGGGTTGGGTACTGTTTCAGAGGTGCCTTGACTGCTTGGGGGAGGGAGCGTTTTCGCAACGTGCTTTTAAAGAAAAAACAAAACCAAAAACGGCCACGTGTGCATTCGAATAACATTGGACTCTGACAGAGCTAAAATGCCTCGTTTCGGAAGTTTTCGTTTGACATCATTGGAGCGTTGCAATTTCAAAGCCAAAGAGCTAAGATCCAAAATTAGACATCACTCATAAAAAGGCAAAATACAGTACAAATTTGTCACGGGCAAAAAGGTTTTCGTAAGTCCTATCCGATTCGTTCCACGTGGCTGGTAAAAACAGATCATTGTTTTTATTACCTAGGTTGCAGTGTGCTTTCCCACTTTATCTGCAAAGTATTTCCCTTCCTTTATTCATTTCCTTTGTAATGAATTATTTCCCTGTTTACTCATCCCAGTTCCTTTGGCTGTTCAAGACTCAATGTAGGTTGCCATATGTGAAGGTGTGCTGGTGCGTAAGGGGTGGGTGGGGGGTGGGTTCTTTTGAATGTATTATTGATAGGTCTGTCACGCGCTGAACCTGATGGTACTGAAATAAAGGTGATACCCCTAACAATACAGTGCTCCCCCTACACTACACTGGAGGGTCAGCCTCGACTGTGAATTCAAACACCAGCCACTGATACCATCCATTCGGAGTCAATGTGGCTCTTGTATTTTCTGTCATTTATTAGATGGAAATGCCGGTTCATTTTATCATCACAGTTTAAGTGAGGAATCGGTATAGATTGCACGCTTTCAGGAGTAATGTCAGCTATTTGGTAGCTTAATGGACCAACCATAATGCCCCGAATGTATTGGTGCGGGATAACGCGTTCTCAAGGGCATTCCGAGCGAAATAATAAATAGTGATACGCAGGCATCGGGAGTGTTAATCCCTGTTGTCAGAGGCAGCCGTTCTAAATGATCAATCAATCAAGGGAAAGGGATACCTAAGTTTCTCAATTCTTTTTCAAGCGTGCAGAGGAAGGTAACTTGAAGGAAATTCCCAAGTGTAACTATGGGAATAGCTGTGCATCGAGTGAACCAGCCCTCAAGCCTATAAAAGTACTCATTAACCCTCACCACAACCATAACCTCTACTTCTTTTGGCAACGCAACTGTGTTCTTTTCTACACTGGCCTCTGGAACTTTGAGGAACTCTCCATGCCAATTCAAGTCCAGAAAGAACAACATATCAAGATTGCAGAAAATTAAACAAACACTGGAAGCTCTTAGCCTCCAACAGAGAGGATAGCTGCAGGTCAAATGTCATCACTTGACCTCCAAACTATTCCCTCTGTTGTAGGCTAATAGCTGCCAGTCACAATGGCTTCGTGAAACAAGCTCCCAACAAAAGCAGCCGGCGCACTGTTGATTTGCAAAGTAACTGGATCACTGTTGTGCTTGAGAGCAGTTTGGGAGGATTTCGGGATGTGTACAGAATGGGAGTGAACGAACAGTCCAAAAAGGACCAAAATATCTCGGGATACAGGATACAGTTTGGGGCACGACATGTCAAGTGCCTCTGCCAGGATGGTGGAGGGCAAACTCGATGGACCTTGGTCTTCTATTGCCTAGCAAATTCTTATGTTCTTACGACATGATGCATCAAATCCAGACACAGGGAAGTTTCCATGTGTGGGTGGCAAACACAGGTAGAACTCTCAGTCTTTTGGGATATTCTTCCTCTTACGGTGATGGGTGTGCACATCTGGTAAAACCCCACCAGCTGACCAAAAAAACAGACCCAGCTGGGTTAAGCTTAGCTTCTGATTATTCGTGGGCGCTAGTGTTAGTGAAGCGGAATGAAGTTCACCAAAAGCAGACTTCAAGATATGCCTGACAAAGTTTACATGACAGATGTTATGCAGGCTCATTGCTCTGTACATCATCAACTGTAATGGCTTTCAGATCTCGATCAACTGCCTTAGAAAGTGGCTGGGATGTGAGCGGTCCACCACACCAGGTCCAAACCCAGAGTCAGTGAAGGAATGCAGGGAAGATTTGGTCCAATGGGTTAATTCACTGTTCATTCTTGCGATGAGGAGCAATGCAGGTTACCTGAAGCCCATGTAATGCAGACGTATTTTCGCCCACAATAGTCACAATCAATCCACTTTACAGTATATCCCGCAAAGCGCTTTGAGACGTCTCAACAACGTGATAAGCCTCTGTATCAAATGCAAGGCTCTTTATTGTTGTCTGCTTTCAAAGTGGAAAGGAACGACCTAGTGATTCTCCTTCCATAGAAGGTGGAACAAATGAGTTCTTACTTAGTTCAAAGCCACATTATGCAAATAATAGCGAGAAATCCAACCCAGTAAAACCCACTCTCTGAAGCTCCATTCAGGAGTCCCTCCGACTTGCTTCCTCGCTCCCTCTGTTCATCTTAAGGGTTGATTTTTTTATATATAAAAGGAAATCTGGTTTCTTCGGACCTCGTTATCTGATATTTTGCCAAAAAAAAACACATTTTGAGCCCATTAAACAGAATTGAGGTTCGAGCCGAGCTTTGAGGCAAATTAAAAGTATTCATGTTTATTTGTTGAGTTTTTGGAAATGGGTACACTTTCAGGGTGAGCAGAGTGTTCCCTGTATCCAGTTGTACCCATTAAACAAACATGGTAGAGTACTGGCAATGAGTTGTGCTATTCAGTAAATTCTCTGTTGAAATGAATGTTCCCATTAATATTAACTCGCATGTACAGTATTTCCCTTTGGCAGTGCCTCGGGGAAGTACTTTTCATGCTAGACCTGGGTACAGAGTATTTTGTTCCTTTATTGCAATCTGGCTTATTCGACAGGGTTTTAGCTGCTGGCAGTGGGTTGGAAAACTAATGATTCCATCTGGGTGCCTTACACACCTCTCCCGGTCAGATAAAGGGGCCGAAATTCTTAGAAGCTGTCAGTTGCAAACGGTCAAAATGTCAGAGAGACATATGTGTGCGTGTGTGTGCGGACATGATAATTAGTACCGGTAATAATTGTCGTACCACCTACTGAAGATACCCCTCCCCTTGTTTTTGCGTTTTATTGTGGAACTGTTTCATTAATAATAACAATCTTTGCATGATATGGAGTGCCTTACCGAACTGTTTCAAAGTGCTTCACGGGATTTTTACCATGACAGCGGAGCGACTGCGGATATTGCGAGCAGCCGATTTGCATATAGCAACATCCCTCAAACAGCTGTGAGGCGAATGATCAATGGGAGGGAGGAGGATTGTCAACCAGCAGGACAGCAGAGAGAGCGAGAGAGAGAAACTCTCTTCCCTTTTTGAAATAGTGCCGCTTGAAACCATTTTGAAATTTTGGAATAACTTTTACAGTGTATCCTGTGAAGCGCTTTGAGACGTCTCGAAGACGTGATGATAAGGCGCTATATCAAATGCAAGGACTATTATTATTATAAGGTCCACCTAGACGGGACCTCGGTTTGACGTCTCACCCAAAGGGTAAAACAACAGGTTTTTCAGTCGCGGGTGCAGAAAGTTATCCGGAACTTTTGAAGCAGCGGAGAGAGCTTCAGCATTTTAAGAATGGGTGGGGTGGGTGATACAAAAAAAAAAAAAAAGTTTGTGCGGCTGGCTTTCTTTCCTTTTCTGTAGCGGAATCAGTCACTGACTCAAGTTGTGGGATTGCAGAAAGAGGGTCAAAAGTGCAACCGCACTCTTCAGCATCTGGTGGAACGTGCTCGGTTGGAAACAGCAGCAGAGTTTTCACCTTACTTGTCAGAGCCGAGCAGATAAAGTGTCCACCCTGTGTTACAGTGTCCCGATCCACTGGAGGCTCCTGAACACGATCATAGCATCTTGACTGAGTGTGCCTGTTGACCTTGACGGGACATTTCAAATAGAACAGACTCATTAATTCAGTTGTCTTTAGGATGAGAACATGCAGACTTGCATCATGTGATAGTGACTGAATGGAAAACAGATGTACAATTCATCCCCATCTGTTTGCTGCTCACAGCAATGGTGTAATGCCTCAGTCGCGGTGCGAAAGTCAGGGGCCAATCACGGCAGTGCTGTAGTGGGCTTCTGTAGTCCACGAGTGATGAAATCCGCGAGAGGAATTTCTTTGAGCGGAAATATTTTGTGTTTCGCTCTCAAAATACCCAGTCAAATCCACTTTACAGTATATTCTGTGCAGTGCTTTGAGACGTCTCGAGGAGGTGAAAAGGCGCTATGTTAAATGCAATGGTTATTATTATTATTATAGCTCTTAATATCCTACATTGTAGAGAGAGATTATCCTGGATATTTCTCTGTTAATAAGCTACATTCCCCACGTTCGTTTTGATTTGCACCATGAAATCTGGAGTATTGTACAGTGACGCAGCCAGCGAGAGAAGGGAGGTGATCGTAGGCACAGTGGATGAGGTCTTCAGGTGTGATCTGAAGCCAGGCAAGGAGGGAAGTGTGTGCGTGTGTGTGTGTGTGTGTGGGGGGGGGGGGGGTTAATCGAAGGTGCGATTCAGGAGTAGCTTTTTAATGAAGTTGAGCCGTGATGAGTCCAGGTGGAGGGATTTCTGGAGGGAGTTGCAGGGAGCGAGATCTTATACCAGTGGGTAGTTTGACCTCTAGAATCAGTGCAGAGAAAATGAGCAGGGTGGGGTGACGGGAGAGAGAAAATGTTCAACTCCATCATGATTTGTTATCCTTTCGGTACAATTCCCCAGTGTTTTACACAAGTATGTTTCTACTCATCTGCTGTTTGCCAAGAGCCAATTGGAGAGGTTCATGCATAAGACTGGCAGGCGGGGAAATGAGGGGGCTAAGAAAGGGTGGAGGGGCGGGGAGAGTGGGGGAGGGAAGGCGAAATCGGGCACTAGGTATTCTCCAAGAAAATAGAGAATAGCGGATCAATGCAAGGACAGCTGCTTACCTT